CCCCCCTCATATGTGGCACAATGGGATAAAGATCTCGGAACCCCCACTACTGACGAGACCTGGGACCAATCCTGGGCTAATACTAGACGGAGCTCGCGGAGTGCAAGCATGCTTGAGATTAACTATAAAGTACTCATGCGGTGGTATCTGGTACCAGCTAGAGTGGCCGTTTACAACCCCGACTGCTCCCCTAACTGCTTTCGAGGATGTCCTGACCGGGGCACATTTTTCCACATATGGTGGAGCTGCCCACAAGTCATTGACTTCTGGGAGGGTATTTTTCGTATACTGTCCTCTCTATTCTCGATACCTCTGCCAAAGGACCCCTATTTAGCACTTCTCAATTGCAGACCAGACGGTCTTTCCCGACCTCAATTTAGCCTTTCCATGCATATCTGCACCTCCGCCAAAAGAGAAATTGCGAAGAACTGGCTGACACCCACCCTAAGTATAGTCGCCGTCATCACCCACGTCAACTGGATACTGGCTCAAGAAAAACGAACTGCCCAACTTGATGACAAAATGACCAAATTCGAAAACACCTGGTCCCCATGGATCGACCGCTACTTAGACCCGAACACCCCTAGACACCTATGCACTCTATGATGTAGTTTAAGAACCTTACATAGGAGAACTCTCTTGGGCGTCTGTGTACGGCCTCTCTCCTTCTTTCCCCCCTACCTTCAGCCCTCCTTCCCCCTTATACCCTACCCCTCTGTCTGTGTGCCCCCCCACCCAGTGTTGTATTGTCATGTCTCTTAGAGCCAATATCCGAACGCATTGAAAGCTAGGTCTTTCACCCACGTTGGGTACCATCGGTTTACTAACCACAAAATCTTTATATTGCATTACCACTTCAGCAATAAATGCTGATTAATTCATACGAATTGATTACTTCTCCTGTTTAACGGTGAAACAAATTGTTCTAAATGAGCTGAAAGTGAATATACCTACAGATCCGCTACTTCCATGTACCCACTGATGTCATTTATAAGGCCTAACGACTAGACCTCAAGCTCAGCACTATACTTTATGTTGTACTGTGATATCTTTTGTGATGGAACTAACACAAATTTATATGATAAAAAAAATGTTTTTAGGGAGAGTGTGTATGTGTGTGTGAGAATGTCTATGAGTGTGTCTGTGGTTAAGTGTGTCAGTGTTTTTGAGGGCCCGTTCACACTAGTGCAGTACGTTAATCGCACAGTCCCGTGCTAATAATGCACTGCACCACGCAATCGCACCTACTGCACGTTCTGGTGTGGGAGGTGTGTTGCATTGCCATTCATTTGAATGGTACCCCAAATGCACCTCCCACTCAGAGTTTGATCGATTGCACCGAAACAGGTGGTAACGCAATGCCATGCATTGCAGCGCGACTTGGATCGTGACTTAATGACCAAGGACAAATGTGGGTCCTGAGGTTACTCAGGTTGAGAACCACTGGTCTAGACAGAGCACACATCTACGTTGGGTCTAAGCTTGGATGGTTTTTCCTTTCAGTAAAGATCATGACTTAGCCCTTTGGTCATGCAACTAGGAGTGGATGGAGTATGCAGCAGCATTTTCTCCAGTAAAGGTATGTAGAGTGCCTAAAAAAAAAACAGGTCCTCCTAAACTAAGGCACCCCCGTCTCAATTACTTAAGTGTATTTTAGTATTTGCCACAAACTTTTGGATGTTCTCTCACCCACACAAATGTAAATGATCTAATTATTGACGATAACACTGAGGGAAACCCCAAAGTCTTGTTCAGTCGTGCTCAGGATAGACCTCCAGCACATGTTGTAAGATAGTAAAAGGACCACATGATTTGTGTCTTTTGTGCTTTTCTTGTATTAATTTTACAAACCCAGATGAAAGTTACAGTACATATTGGTATACTGTAAGTGTCTCCATTTTTACATATTTTATTACCTATGGTATTACCTGTTCATTGCTTGTATCTTAAGACCTTCTTCAATACTGTGACTCAGTGCTTGTTGATTGTTATGTTTGCTGATCCTGGCCAGTACTCTTTCCTGGTGAGCTTCATATTCATCTCGGCTTGGGTAGATCTTACTGATAAGGGCATCAAAGTTTGGATCTGGGCGCAACGATCTTTTGGAGACCAATTTTTTACGGCATGTTGGACATTCTTTATTTCTGTGAACAACAGATGGGACAGTATTTGATAATGCACATAAAATAGACATCTATAAGGATGTAATTCTAGGACCTTTCCACTATGAACAATCAGCACCTTATTCAGTTACATACAGTGATCAATTACTTTTCTTTTCATACACTTTTATGTACGGAAGCAATAAAGTAAACAAGTAATTAGCATGGTAAAGGTTTTAGTTGACTATATACTCCATAATTGCATGAATGCCTAAAGCCTAACTCTAGCCAAAACTCTTGGTTTCCAAAAGATTGGGGAAGGATTAGAAAGTCTTTCAGGTTATTATTGCTTTCTGAGTGTCTATTGAGGAGATTTATCATAACTTCTTGTCTCAGTACCAGAGGGGGCTATAGGGACAATAAAAGAAACTTACCATGTAGAGCCTCTGCCACCAGCCCTGGACCATCTAATAACTACAAATACGCTTTACTTACCCACTTCTAAGAGCCGTTATTATGCAGTCGGCACAAAACCTGTGCAGACATTCTTTAGTTGTCATTGTGTTCTTCAGCATGTCAAGGCAAATTGGACACATAAGTTCGCTGTGCAAGCTTCGGGGTGATACTACAATTTCTAACCCATCTGTAATTGCTTCCTGCCAAAATATGAAGTATTGAAAATAAAAACATTAAGAAAAACACATAACCTATTCTAGTAAAAGCTCCACCTATATTTCATGCAACGTGTTTACCTGTGGCGTTCTCTGCAGTTCATACAAACTTAGCTCCCATGTTTTGCTGAGTGGCTGAGCTCCGTTGGTTTGTACTGTCTGAGACATAATGCCTGAAATTCAAACACAAAACACATTTATTGGTAGGCCCAGATACTCCAAATATATTAAACCATAACTCAAGCACGCCACATCCTGGGGTACACGCCACTTACACTGCACATGTCAAAAGTGAAGGGAAAGGTATTCATACATAGTAGGCCTAAAGGTTTAATAAGCTGGTGCGAACTGTCATTCTATCTCATATATATATATAGGGAGACTTAAGATAAACACTTAAAGTTGAACTCCAGCCTTACCTTCAGTCCCAGGCCCACCCTTTTATTTATTGAATTTAAGTTCTTTACACAATGGAGGCTCAACATCACATGGGGGTGTTACCTAGGGTGGTCTGCATGCAAATGCAGTCTAGATAGGAACAACCACTCCTCCAGACTGAAAACAACCCATCAAGGCATTTTAATATTTGCCAAACCACTGCTTGCATAAGGGCTCTTGAGAGAAGTAATGAGGCAGGGTGCTAAGATGTTCTCAGAAAGCTAATTCAGGAAGCTATTTACAGCACCCTGTTGGTCCTTCCCACCAGCCATGTTCTGCCTGCATTGCTTAAAGAAGTGCAGAGAACCAGTGATGATGTCACTGGGTCTAAAATAAGGTATGTCATGAAAATGGAAACATTTTATTTAAAAATTGAATTAGTATGTTGCGGGGGAATGATACCAAGTAGGGTTGCACAGATACCAAGTACATGTACCGATACTTTTGAGCTCCAAGACTACACTAGAGAAAAATTCAAAATTTAGAAGGCAGCTGTCATTTGTAAGGAGCACACGGAGCTCCTGGGATTTGTACATCTCTGTTTTAATGTACGATTTTGTTTTTATAAATATTAGGGCTGGTAAGGATTAAAATTTTCCTGTTCGATTAATCGAATTTTTTAAAATCGATTAATCGACTAATTTCGATTATAACGCACAGGGCTAGCAGGGCTCTGTGGGGTCTAACCAGCCTTGTTAGACCCACAGAGCCCTGGCAAGACCCCACAGAGCCCTGGCAAGATCCCACAGAGCCCTGATCTCACCAGGGCTCCATGGGGTCTCACCATGGCTTTGTGGGGTCTCACCACGGCTCTCTGGGGACTCACCAGGGCTCTGAGGGGGTCTCACCAGGGTAGCAGGGCTCTGTGAGGTCTAACCAGGGCTCTGTGGGGTCTAACCAACTTTGTTAGACCCCACAGACAGCTGTTGAGACCCCACAGAGCCTTGGTTAAACCAGGGCTCTCTAGTGTCTCCACAGGGCTCTCTAGTGTCTCCACAATCTCTCGTTCACTTATTATAAAATGCTCATTCACATTACCTAAAAAAGCACCCTTAGCACTGCACATTCATTAAATACATCTTTTGGCCTCCGTGTCTTTAGTGCACCAGCTTTAATATTGTTTACTCATATCTCGCTCCCATTGTCGATTTTACATGATACATATTTCATTTTTATTTTAGCTGCCTTGTAGACATTGTCCACACATCCCATGCACTCATGAACGAGGAGACTCACCGGCCCAAATGATTCCGTTCAGGTAACGAAGGGAAGGGGGAGGAGTCCGGTGACGTCACGGCCGGCGGAGAGGTGAGTTCCGATCAAAATAATTTTGATCGATCAAAAAAATTAACGATTAATCGAGGGATTCATCGTTAATTTGCGAAGCCCTAATAAATATAAATAAAGGGATGGACAGATACCAGTTTTGCGAGTACAAGTACTGTAATTGCCGAGTACTTACAAGTACGAGTACTGATACATTTTTGTTTATTGTCATGTGATAGTTTTTCTAAATCAATACAGACTAATGATTTCCGGACAGTGGTGGAGTGCCAGAGCCAGGTCCCCGCTGCAACCCTGGTAGTTCTCATGAAAAAATGAAAATATAGATCTTGTATCTATATAATGTACGATCGTGATGCTTAGGTTACAAAAAATGATTTATAGAGTGTTTTATATATTTTTTATAGATCATTCAGACGCTTCAGATAGAATCTTAGCCCTGGTTCACACCTAGGAGTTTTTGAGCTTTTAACTGCCCAGCACAGGAAATCCCATGATTTGAAATGACCCTGGTTCACACCTGAGCAGAAGAACGCCCCAAAAAATACAGGGGCTTCTTTGGGCAGATAAAAGCGCTTTTTCTCCCCATAGACTTCATTGGAAATGCCCAAAAACGTGCAACAGAAGCATGTTGCACATTTTTGTGAGTGTATGTGCGAATTTATATGCGCATTCTTCCATTGCCCACAATAATTTATGAGCTGCCAATTAAAATGCGCGTCTTCATGTAGGCGCACAAACCTGCAAATAACCGCATGCTGTTAACACGTTTACAATAATCGCGCAGAAACGCTGCCGTCTAGGTGTGAACCCAGCCTTATGTTGATTCTTCTATACACCACTGTTTTGTATCCCTTTCCATAAACACAGTGGGTGATCCTTCCTGTTGTGCTGTCACACCAATGACCTGCAAAAGTGTTAGCGCTGCGTCCTACAGATATGTCACTCTTACAGCTCCATAGTGTGACAGTGCAACAGGAGAATTACTCAAGTGTTACCCCCAAAGTATAGAAGGCCCGACAAGTAATTGCACCACACTTTTTTCTATATTCATTCCACAGAAGATACAAAGTAACAGTAACAGTTTCAAGCATACCATGCTCTTTGTCAAGCGGCTCCAAATGAGTATAGAAATACATATAAAGGAAACAGGTAGAAGATGACATCATCTAATCACCAAAACACCCTTGAATTTAGAGGACTCCATCTTGAAGGGAAGGGATACAACAAATGGTGCATGGATGGATCAACAAAGCCTTCTATCCAGAAACTCTTTGCTATACTGATTTGTAAGCAGCTTGATATGCTTCAAACTGTTGATGTTACTTTGTTGAACCACAATGTGCTTATTGTTTATAACGTCTGAGAATATCTTTATAAAGAGAAACTACTAGGTTTACTAAATTTGAGTCATCTACCGGAAGCAGTTTTTTTTCTTTATGTAATACATTCATCCAAACGCCCTCCTGCGTCAGGAGCAAAGCCATGCGAAAGTCAACACAGGGGAGGTAGGTGGCACCATCCCTTCAACAACTAGGCCCTCCAAAGTTAACCATCACCAAAACATTATCAGAGACTAACATAGTCCTTATTCTGTCCTCCAGCAAATTTATGGTTGACAGAGTATCTGTGTTAGGTAAAGGGTTGGGATTTAGCTATCTTGTAGAAAACTCTATACAATGCAGATCTTTCAGGATCATAAAACTTCAAGTGCATTATGATCTGAAAAACAGATACTCTTGGTATGGTCAGTTGGAATAGTCGGTCACTTGGATTAAAAACGTTTAGTAAATTTATTCCAAGTACCACCTACGCTGCAGCAGACAAGTTTATTATTTGGTGGACAAGGATGTGGTTACATTAGTAAGCGGTTACGTTAGTAACATTCGAATGAAATGAGAAGGAGAAAGACAGCAGGATGGTAGTCAATGAAAATGTTAGGTGCTTCCTGCAGACTCATTTAAAGGTGAGCCCACAAGAATATAGCACGTGGGACTTATATGACACAATTAAGAACATTGTAAAGTCTGCAAACCTTGCTAACAATTTATTGAAACAGAAAAACATTGTAAATACTTTATTACTGAAGATAAGTGAAATATGTGGGGCGTAACCAGGAATATAGTGAGATCTGATCATTTCTGTTGCACTTACCTTAGTTTATGCCGGTGAACCAGAGCTTACACAACCCTAGAAAATTAAAAATAAATATTAAGTACAGGTAAATAATTAAATGATTCCTATGATACATCATATGGTGTATAAAGTTATAGAAAGTGAAATTCCAGTTAAAATATGTTGAGTAGAAGAAAATTCTTCTCTATTGGATATTCTATAGTAATGATTGTAGCAAATGTTATTTTAGATGTATTTAAAGTGACACTACACTCAGGAGTTCAATCTTAAAAATGCATTCAAGTACCCTGCTAACAAAAATGTAACTTATTTGTGTATCACTCAGCTGTAGATCCTCCAATCATCTCTGAATTGGTGCTGACACTGTCCTTCCTTCTGGAGGGTGGTTACTTCTGTTCCCCATGGTTCCTGTGTGTGTTGTAAAGTAGTCACCGCCTCAAGAGCTCACTCCCGTGATGGACTACAATTTCAATTCAAATTAGTAAACTAAGCGTGAGATTGTAGTCCATCAGAGGAGCAAGCTTGGAGCAGTGTTTACTTTACAACACACACAGGGACCATGGGGAACAAAAGTAGCCACCCTCCAGAAGGAAGGCTTATGACATTATTACATTTATCTGCTTAGTCAGCTCTAGGGCAGGGGTAGGCAAACTCCACCCCTACACTGTGGTGGAACTACACATCCATTGTGCCTCAGTTGTCAGAGTCTTGCAATGTCTAATGGGATTTGTAGTTGCAACACAGATGGAGGGCTGTATTATCGTATGATAATCGCTGGAAATCCCGCGATCGTACAATAATCACAAGGTGTATGGAAGGCATGCGACCTCTGCTACTGTAAGGTCGCACGACTTTTGTCTTACAAGCATGTTCGAAAATCCGCCGAGAATCGTACGATTGTCGGCGGTTTTTTGGCATGCTCGTAAGACAAATGTCGAACGGGCCGGTGTGCGCAAGCGCACACTGCCCGTTCAGCATTGCAGTCATTGGAAGCACGCCCCTCAGGGGGGTGGGCTTGCGACGATCGCAAGTATGATCTGCCTGTCCAAGATAGGCAGATCGTACGTTTTTTTAATTACCGTGCAACCATCGCAAGACAAAAGTATTGCGATGGTTGTAAGGTGTATAGGCACCTTAACACTGCTCTAGGGCTTCTGTAGAGGAGAAAATTGGCATGATTTCAAATACATTTGTCTTGCATAAGGGAGTAATTGAACATAATTAAAGTGTGCTTATGATTAATAAAGACTGAATATTCAATTTCTTACATAAGAATAATTGTGACTGGTTCTCTTTTGAAAAACAATATATGTGAGGCTTAGAGTGCTGGGTTTGCTTTTATAAGGACTCATGTTCTGGGGTTTATGTGGAGGGTTGATTGGGTTTGCAGAGGAAAGTGACAGAATCATGTAAAACTGTTCTGATGCTCAGTTTTAGAACGTAGCAATACAGTTGCTATAGCAACCGATAGTTTGGTTATGCAAGGCTGATTGTTGGCTTTCTAGTGGAAGTGATTCAGGCATATGTACAGCCGCCTGATCACTTCCACAGGACCCAGAACATGCCGCCTTCTCCCCCATTTGACCCCCCACCATGTATCCTTGGCTCCATTGCCATTCCTGAGCACCCGGGACATCCATGGCATGTGTTTGCAGGGAGAGCAGAGGACAAACCCGTGAATGCACCCGGAAGTAACAAGATTTTACTTACTTTCAGTTCAGAGCTGTCATTCCCAGGCTGTTGTGGTCATGAAGCTCATCAAGCTCAACCTGTTCTTGATTAGCTGCTTTGGAGTGCAGGAGTGGTATTAGGCATCTAATAGATCCCTAATGTCTCCTTAAAGAGAACATGTCACCTCTAATGTGCCACCACGTTGGGGGCTAGTCAGCACCCAATATGATAACAGTAAAGTTAAGTAGAAAAAAAAAAAAAAGCTTATAATTAAAGTTAAATACATTTTTTTTTAAGTTTTAACCACTTGCTGTCCGGAGCATTTTCTTACTATTTGCACACACATGATAAAATATACATTTTTGTCTAGAAAACAGCTTCAAACTCCCAAACAACGATATATGTTCTGAAAGCAAAGACTGCTAGTTGCAATTTTTTATGTCGTACGGTTTTCGCGCAAATGTTTATCAAACCAGTATTTTTAGGAAAAAATAAACTAAATTAGGATTTAGTGCACAGAAACATAATATAATACCCAATTTTTTGGTAAAATATACATTTAGTAAGAAAGTATATTACTGCCATGGAATAATCAATCACACAGCAAAAATGTCAAAAGTTCTTCAGTCATTTATGAACAGAAACTGAAAAAAAGCTCAGTCATGAAGGGGTTAAGTGTTTGTTTTGGGGTTTAGATATACTTTAAGGCTTCTTCTTAACTAAATCTATCACCGTGTACATTGGCTACTAAAGAAGTCTGGGTAACCCCAGGGTTAGGTGCTCGTTTTTGTCTGGGGTCAAAACTAACAAAGAAATACTCACCTGAACCTCAGAGCCAGCTGTCCTCCCTCCTGCCTGTCTCCTCCTACGCTACAGCGATTGTATGTCCCTCAGTGTACTCACGTTCTATGCACAGTGTATAAAATGTGATGACTCGGGGACTGCTGGAGCAGAGGGGGAGAGACGCTCCAAGGACCCATCTAAGATTAAGCCGGCTCTGAGGATCAGGTGAGTATAACCTTTTAATGTTTGACCTTAGGCAAAAAAGGAGGACTTAACCATTACCAGGCAGGGGTAGCCCCACAGCAAGGGTTAATAACATTTTTACCCAGAGTTGTTCTTTTAAAAACTATGTGAAAACAACCGATAGCCTGTGAACCACAGCCGAGAATAATGCGAGAATAATGCTAAATCAACTGTCATTTTCCTAAATATAAAAGACGGTGTCTTGTCGCGTATGTAGATACCAAACATGTCAAGCCTTAAAATTGCGTTCGCACATGAAGCCACAAAAAACATCAATACCCAAAATTTCCCATAGGGAATACTTTAAACGCTTTTACCGCTCATTAGTTTAGTGCTAACAGTGATTAATGGCTCTAGAATTATTACTCTCACTCTGACGTTTGCGGCGATATGTAACATGTGTAGCGCAACTGTGGTTTTTGCACATAGGTGCACCAACACATTTTTGCGTGTGTATGCGTGTGCACATGGGGGGGCGGGGGACTTAATTTTTTTGCATTTTTTAATTTTTCTTATTTGTTACTTTCATTTGTATAATTTTTAAACACTTTTTTTTTTTTTGCACTAACCTTATTTCTATCACATAGGGGGCTAACAAGCAACCCCTAATGTCACCAAGAGACCCCAAACGCGCGTTTCCGAGGGCTACCTGGCTGTATCCCAATGGATACGCGTGGCAAATACGCCCCAAACTTCTACTCCTACTTCTTTGGGCGTAGGGCGTTTTGCAGCGCGTTCCTACGCGCTGTAAAACGCCTAGGTGGGAACCATGCCCATAGGCAATCATTGGTTTCCACATGTTGAGCGTTTTACAGAGTGTGAACCAGGCCTAAAGGCTTTAAAAACATCACTTCTGAGCAGTTTTCACTATTTCAAAGGCACATGCAATATTGAGGTTTGGCAAGTTTGGTACAACCTCATCTTTCACCAAAGATTTGGATAATATACTATGTTTATGTGAACTTAAATTAATTTAAAAGGTAAATTTACTGAAAAATTGGGTTTAATAAACCTGTTCTAATATGGTATGAGATTGCAACTACCACCACTTTATTTTATAGCAATGGTGGGCAACTCCTCCAGCTGTGCTTTAGCTACAAATCCCAACATGCCTCTGGCTCTGGGACTAATGCCTGTAACCGTCAGTCTTGCAATCTCTCATGGGACTTTTAGTTCCACAACAGCTGGAGGACCAGAGTTGCTCACCCCTGTTCTACCGGGTCTCTGCTTTCAGAAAATATATAAATTGAGGCAGTAAAGAAACCTTTAGGCCTAAAATGTGGATTTTAACACGTGCAAAAAAACAAAAGCAGGCAGCACTGGCAGCGAAAAGGTTAAGGAAGTCTGATTTACGAGTTGAAACCCGTGTTTCAGGGCACTCAGAATCAGATATTGCAATCACTATTTAAAGGTACAGTATGGCAGGGAGGTTAATAGGTTGCCTTGATATATATGATTTTTACATCACAAGTTGGTTAAAGGTGGCTGAGTCCCGTGTGTGACCATAAAGGTGAACCTGTGAATACAAAGCCCTTTAATGACCACAAGGTGAAGGTAAGGTTTACATGAATACGGCAGTGCGTCCTAAGCCGAGTAAAAGTGTTATATTTACTTTCGGAATCCAGTGGGTTCTAGTAGCGGCGAAGTACAAGATCCTCACGTCAGTGTATCTAAAAAATAAAAAGGAAACAGTGGAAGTGGGCAAGTTATCCAGGAGAAACCTCTACAAATCTCTGAACAAAATGGCAATTTGGTTCATTTAAAAAATACTATAGCGACAGTAAAGTTGTATAGGATCCTTGTAAGAGAATTTGCCTTTACCGTACTTACAATTATTGTTTTTCTACCTCCTGGTCCTCTTAACCATTACTGATGTGATGTGCCTAAGCGATGCACCCTGGGAAGGTTACATCAGCAGAGCATTGTTGGGAAATCATATCTATAAACTGCAAAATCTCCTGAGATCTCAGGAAAAAGCCTTTTTCCTCCCCTGAGATGATATGCATGGTCACATGTCTTAGTCACATGTGCCAGAGTTCCAGGAAGTACAGGGAGATTAATTAATCTGCCCTTAGTAAAAATGGCCACTGTAAGAATGCGGAAGAAAAGAAAAATAAGATATGCAAAGAATACAAAGCCGGCAATTGTCTAGAAGTATCTGCTTGTAGATTGTTATCACTAAACATTTCTAAAGGTGACTTTCTTGTCATTTTAAAGATAAAGGTTAATATCCTCTTTGGCCTTCCTGGCCAGGCCATTTTTTTCAGTGTTCAGCGCTGCGGTACTTTGACTGACGTTTATTCCATCATACAACGCTGTACTGAAATTCATTTT